AAAATAAAAACTTAAATACCAAAGCAACTACATTTAAATAAGTAACACTATGATGATATTAAAAAATTCACAATAAGGCTGCAGCCCTGCATATGTGGATGCACAGCCTGATCGAGAACCCTGGGAGGCTGCCTGCAAGGGGCTGGGCCGTGGCTTCAGTTCTCTTCCTGCTCAAATTCGTCCAACCCTTTCCAGAAGGAGAGAAGGTGGCCTAAGTGTTGGGCTTGGTTCTGGAAGATCAGGTAAACTTCTTATGGCAGCTTGGAAAAGACCTCAAGGGGCTCTGCAGGGAGCAAGGGGCACAAGGACTGCAGCTGTAGTGGATCTGTGATCTGTGCCCAAAAGAGTGTGTAATAAAAGACAAAATCTCTTCAAGGGAAGCCAGGGTCCTGTTGCTTAAGCACATACAACACTTAGGAGACTTGTTTTAGTCTGTCAGAGTAGGAAATGAGACTGGGGGCAAAGTCAACGTAAAGAAAAAAAGGAGATGCCACTCCTATTCAATGTTGTTCTGGAGGGCTGGTCAAATAGCTCAGTGGATTAAAACACCTGCAAGCAGGTGCAGGGTCCAGGGGTTTGATCCCTGGGCCTGCCATGCCAGCTCCACCCCCCAGGGCCTGCTGAGATGGCACTTGAGACTGGGTGTGACGGCCTGTGCCTGTAATCCCAGCTCTTAGGAGGCTATAAACAGGAGAATCACTACAAGTCTGATCACGTAGTGAGACCCTGAACATCCTGCAGACCCTTCCCTAAAATACAAAGAAAAAAATAAATAAAAAACAATTTAATTCTGGAAACATTAGCCAGAGCAATGGGACAAGAGAGAAATAAAAGGAATAAGGATTGGAAAAGAATTGAATTTATCATTGTTTTCAGATGACAGGGATACTGTACAAGCTAGCTATTCCCCTCCTTGGTATTTTTCCAGAAGACCTGAAGATCTCATGGTACAGCCATATATGTGCATCCATGTTTATAGCAGCACAGTGTGTTACAGCTAAATCCTGGCAACAACCCAGATCACCATCAACTGAAGAATGGATAAAGAAGATGTATTTTTACACAGTGGAGTGTTATCCAGCAATAAAACAGGATAAATTTGAGTCTTCTGCTGGTAAATGGAACTAGAGAACATACTCTTAAGTGAAATAAATTAGACCCGCTGTGCAAACATCATATTCTCTCCTTAGTGTGAGAACCGGAAAAAGAAAAATGGAATCTTAAGAGTAGAATAGACACTGAGAAAAGGGAATGAACTTATTCAAGAGGAAAGTGTTACCGAATTGAGGAGAAGGACAGGAGAGGGAGTAGGGGAGAGATTTATCTAGGTATGTAACTAGAATGGTTTGGACAACTGTACTGTGCATTTCTGCTGGCCTGTGGAAAGGAGCAGATTTTTTTTTCTTTCTTTTTTTTTTTTTCAGAACTGCGGATTGAACTCAGTCCCTTGCACTTGCCAGACAAGCACTTATTCTACTGAGCTGTCTCCCTGGCCCTATACAGAAAATAGTTAATTTGTTTTGTC